TCCTTGTTCTATCATCTTCCACCACTGAGAATAGCTCCATCCTTTTTCAAATCCCCCTTCAGGTAGTTGAAGACTGCTATTAAACCCCCTCTCAGTCTTGTCTTGTCTAGGCTAAATAAGCCCAGTTCCTTCAGAACCTCCTCAGAAGTCATGTCCCTCACCACTTTTGTTTCCCTTTGCTGGACCCTCTCCAATTTGTCCACATCCTTTCTGTAGTGAGGGGCCCAAAACTGAACATAGTACTCCAGATGTGGCCTCACCAGTGCTAAATAGAGGGGAATAATCACTTCCCTTGACCTACTGGCAACACACCTACCAATGCAGCCCAGCATACCATTAACCTTGGCAACTAGGTCACATTGTTGGCTCATATTCACCTTCTTGTCCACTGTAACCCCCAGGTCCTTTTCTGCAGAGCTGCTGCCCGCTAAGTCAGCCGCCAGCCTGTACTGGTCTATGGGATTGTTCCATCCTAAGTGCAGGACTTTGCACTTGTCCTTGTTGAACCTCATGAGATCCCTTTTGGCCTAATCCTCCAAGTAATACCCACAAAGTAATACCCATATCACTTTGTGCATATTTATAGTGGGGAGCATCCCCTTTTTTGACTGAGCATTTTAGAACATAGTTATTTTGGGGTGGCCACTTCCTATGGGTTAATTTCAAATTCTACCTTAAGCTTATTAGTATATTCAGTTACTTACTATAACACTACTTGTGGTTTATCCTGTTAGCTGCCTAGAACAGAGGTAGGCAAAATATGGCCAGCTGGTCAGATCCAGCCTTCCAAGGGATTTTATCCAGCCCACAGTGGGTCCCTCGGCTCTGTCCGACCTAGGTACAGCCATGACGTGCAGCTGGTCCCGCCGCCCCCAAGTGCACAGTGGGGCTGGGGCAGCGTGGCAGCTGAACATGCTTCCTGGCAGCCCCCACACCAGCAGTTCCTTCTGTCTCCACTGCCACTGCTGGACCTGGCCCTGCTGCCCAGGCACTCTAGCCCATCTGCCTCGCACCCACCGCTGGGAGTGCTGGATGGAGTGGGCAGGGTCACCAGAGACTGGCCCGGGAACCATACAAGCAGAGTGCGCTTGGCTGGGCAGAGGGATGTGACCACAGGCAAGGAACAGCATGTAGGAAGCAAGACAGGTGGATAGGGTTGGCACGGTGACTGGGACCACAGGGTGGTGACAGCGCAGGGCCGGGGCTCAGAGCACAGCCATGATCCACTCCTTGTATGTCCTTGCAATGGGCACCAATTCAGCGGGCAGGGAGGGGAAGCTATGAATAAAATACAGGGTGCATGCAAATAGCTAGAAAAGGGGAGAACTGTTTCAAAATAAACAGCATGTGACCTGTGCCACCTACACACAGGGAGAAATTTATACATGAAGCAACAAGTAACACTTTGACCATAGGGGCTTATAGCATAGTTCCCCACCCCGGAATGAATAAAATAATCAGTAAAGTAGGTGCATACAGGCCTCCCTCCTTTAGCTACCCTTCCAATAGCTTCCTGTAAACATTTCTGCTGTTGTTATGGAATTTATGAAGCAATATTGGGCAGTTTGGAAAATCGTACAGTATTCAGACCAGCACTGTCAACTTCTACACCAGGGGCCAGTAACCTACAGCCTGTGTGCTGGAGCCAGCCCACAGAGCCATTTGATCCAGCCCACAAACATGGGGCTTTGGTGGCATTTAAGGGCAGGGGGCTTTGGTAGTAGTTGTTTTCTGTTGCTAGCGTGGGAGCTGCAGGGCCTTTTCCTGGTTGCTGTAAGGAAAAGCAGTTGTGGTGGTGGGGTCCTAGCCCCCACTAACTTTTTTACCTTGTCACTCTGGCCTGCAGCCTTTAAAGGCTGCTGACCACTGCTCTACACAGTCTTCTTTTCCATCTTACAAATCTTTAGTTTCATGAATGTATAAAGAAACAATGTATTGTTTAGGAGGGGGGAGGTTTGGAAAAAATGCAGGGTGTAGAAAGGTCAACCAGCCACAGCATGCTGCAAACGAAACCATTCCACAACAAGATACTTCCATATCGGGGAGCAGTCTTGTGCTCCATACTAAAACAAAGAAAATGAAAATGGAGCCATGACAACATGGATAAGCGTGATGAGTACGCACCAATCTACCCACTCCTAGTTATGGGTGCACACCAGATATACAACCATACAGAGAAAATTCTTTATACAGCATTCATCACCAAAGGGTTGCCAAAGCAAAGCAATGCAATACAACTGGCCTATATTATTGATAATCCAGGGACAGGTAAAAGCAGCCATAAACTTCTGTTGCATCAATTTAGGTTGATATGTTGCAACAAACCAAGGATCTCAGATGAAAAGTAGGCTCTACAGCCAGGAGTCTAATTAGAATGCCCCATGGCACCTAGTGATAGGTCATAACGCGACATGTAGCGTAGCACTTCACAACTCAGGCAGCAGCAAAGGAGACAAGCTCAGAAAATGTCATAGGTACACCCTTTTATTTAAGCAGTAAATCTTTAAATTTGATGCAGAAGTTTATGGGAAGCTACCATAATATTTGCAAAAGATGAATGATGTGTTGAGACAACTGACTGTCTTGCAAGGATGTGAACTGCTGAATTCTGTATGAGCTGTTCTAGAGACAGCTTAATACAGGAAAACCCACAAAAGAATCCAGCTTCCAAAAAACAGTTTATTGTCTGTTCCAAATTGTTGTAGATTTACAAGGGTCTTGGCCTTTCCTTTCTCTGTATAGTAACAAAAAGCCTGGATAACAATATTAAGATACAAGTCCATTGACAAATGTGATGGCTGTATAGCAGTTAAGTATACAACACATACTCCATAAAAGATTAACATATTTCAGATCTGTGTTCCACCATAATGAAACCAACATGCAGGTAAAACTAGTACAAATTAAAGAAATATGCCAAGGACCGTCAAACCACAGTCCATTATTATCTTTATGTCAACATAACTGAACTGAATACAGGACAATCTCAAAACCCACGTCTGAGATGTACCTGACCATCCACAATATCAAGGCTAATATCCTACTAATCAATGAAAGCACCAACCAACACTACACCACTCCTGTTTCCAACTCAAATTTTCAGCTCCTGATAGAATATATATTGAAAGTCCACTTAACTCAATTTTTCTCTTCTCATTTCTTCTAGTTGTTAATTAATTTCCTTCAAAACAGTTCTGTCTATAC